TTGGCGGCTCATGTTCATCTTGGAGTCAATAATGACTCCAAGATCCCTTTCCGCCTCTGTGCTTTCAAGAAGGGAACTCCCCAGCCTGTATGTATGCTGTGGATTCCTTCTCCCAAGGTGCAGCATTTGTCTACGTTGAACCCCATCCTATTCTCATCTGCCCACTTTTGTAGTCTGTCTAAATCTAGTTGCAGCCTCTCTCTCCCTTCAAGTGTGTCCACCTTGCCCTACATCTTATTGTCATCAGCAAATTTGGACAGTGTGCTTTCCACCCCCTTGTCCAAGTCGCTGATGAAGATGTTAAACAGCGCGGGCCCGAGGACTGAGCCCTGGGGTACCCCACTGCTCACATCTCACCAGGTTGAGTACAACCCATCCATCACTACTCTCTGGGTGCACCCCATCAGCCAATTTTTTACCCATCCGACTGTGCAGGCATCAATGCCGCAGTCGCTTAATTTATCGATGAGGATGGGGTGAGAGACAGTGTCAAAGGCCTTCTTGAAGTCTAGAAAGACTACATCCACAGCGACACCATCATCCAAGGATTTAGTTACTTGGTTATAAAAGGTATGAGAGGTACCTCCTGGTGGATTCCCTTATGAACCAGAAAAGAGCTACAGAAGAAGGTGGCTAGGCTCAGAAACATCCCTAAACATAAGAACTTCATCAATTTGATGCACAGAAACCCCCAGCATCATGGAAGAGGGACAGCCAGAGGGCAAAGATACTCAGTAACTTCAACATTGTAATTGACTTTTTAAATAAAAGATTAAATTAGCATCAATATTTGGTGTAAAAAATGTGGGAAGCGCATAAATACCTTCAGAGTAAAAACCCTATTAAGAATGATAACATTGCTTTTCATTGATAAACAATCTTTTATTCCATAATCTCAACTACTAATGACACCTCACATAACATGCCTGTGTTGTCAGCCCTGGTTTGCAAATGAGAAAACACAAAGAAATTTAAGTAATGTTCACAATTGTTAATGAGTCACTGGAGAAAAGAACAAAATCTAGAAATCTTGATACCCAGTTCTCTGTTTCAACTCTGTTGCACACATTAAAAAAAAAACTTGCAAGACCACATTTTACTCAAATCTTCTTTTAACTGGTCATCCTAGCTGATAGTAAAATCATTGTAAAATATAAATATTAATTTGGTTCAATGATAAAAAAAGAACACCAAGGAAATTTCTCCAGCCTCCAACAAAATTAAATGCTCCCACTGAACTTAAAACAGCCAATACATTTCCCCCAAGAGAAATGTAAGGAAATAATCAGGCTTTTCTGTTTGATCAACAAATCATGAATTCTGGAGTCTGATGGACCAACAGGGGGCCATGAGATAGGATCAACAGAAGTAGTTACAGAGTTGAAGATCCCTCACTGAACTTATCCTTCCCATTAGTCCTCTACTGTTTACAACAGAAAGCTGAAAGCTTGTACACCTCAGCTGATTGCAACTGCAGCATTATCATCCAAGGATAGAAACAGTTGCTAAGGTAACCAGGATGAAGCTTCTTGTTTTAAAAATGAAAATTAACCCTTTAAATTAAATATGGAAATCAACTAGAAACCAGTGAAGATCATGAAGCACAGGTGTGATGTATCTGGAAGAAACAAGCAGAATGCCTCCTTTGACAAGTTCTGGAGTAGTCATCAGATAGGAAACACTGCAGTAACCTAAGCATGACATGAAATCTCCATCCAAAATAGGAAAAGAAATAATCACAATCTCTGTTTTTTTTCTTTTAAGCATGCACAGGTTTTAAATCAACCAACCTTTTCTTGGAAAGTGCTATTACCTGGACATCCAGAAAAGTGAACCGCTAAAAATAGATAAACTGTATGAGTTTCTGAGTAGGTACAATTTTCCCGTTTATAATAGTGAATGAATATTCCAGTGATGCTGTAAGTACAGTCTTATTTATATTTGTCCTACAGCTTCCACTACAAATATTTAGGTTGTTTTTTGCAAAATTATGAAAGAAAAACATACTATATTTCTAACAGTTTATTTATAAATGATTACTATTACATACCTATAAACTGTGGATGTATTTCAAGCTCATCAAAATAGTTAAGAACAGTTTCATCTTCAGTGTTTAATTCCCTGAAGAGACTCAGAGATCTCAAGAATCGGTCCTGTGTATAATGAGTTCCAGCAACAACAGTTTCTGGAAGATTCATTACTCGGTTTTTTAGGAATTCATCAGAAGCATTCAAAGAAATAACAAATTCTGTAATGAAAAACATATTTCTGAGAGTTAAAGGCAATATCATAATTTTCTCTTTCCAGCGTCTATTATTTGTAAGTAACATATTCCTAACTAATGAAAAGAACAGTATGCAATGAACAGAAATTGATTTCAAATCTCCATAAAAACTGCATTGCAGAATGCCTTACTGAAACTTTAAAATTATAGCAGTTCACCAATATTTAATAATAAATAAATTCTTTAAAAAATCCTATTATTTCAGTAAAATTGAGAAGCTAAATTCAAAGCTACAGACTTTTATCCTACTCACACTTTATCACCCCTACTTACTGATCTCATAAAGGCTTACCCTGAAGTAATAGACTAATCATGGTTTGACTAACAGTAACAGAATCTAAATCTAAGGCTCAAAAGAGAACTGTACACAGTAATCAAAATACCTTAAATAGAAGACTATAAAAGATTTATTTCCTTGGACACACAACTCAAATTAATAGCACTAAAAAACATAGTAACTCATTGTACTCAAAAAGTGCTCAAGCTATCAATTACTATACTGGGATTTTTAATTTCATAAATGTATCTGCTCTTGCCTAAGCACACTTTCATGTAGTTGAGAAATACACAGAAAAAAATAAGTCAGACACAATATAATTTTATACCAGTTGCCTTCACTACAATGACAGAAGGGAAAAAAGCAGACTTTCAAACGTCTCTTTTACCAATTTTATTTTATATAAGTTTAACAGCTTCATATTTCTATTATTAATAAATAAACCCTGGCAATTTTTTCTTGGGCAAAAATCAAAAGTGAACGGATTTTTTTTTTGCCTGAGTGTAGACTAACTGGCCTCCTTTTATCATAACATTTTCTCATATTCCTATTTAGTATGATTATTAAATGCTACTCTAAGCTGGGAAAGCAGTTTAACAAAGCCAGGAGGTCACATCTCATTTCTTGGGAAAAAACAGACACAACCCAACTGTAAACAAATCTTCAGAAAACAAACAGAAATGCTTCCAAGCCTACTCAGGCTTCTAACCACAGTCCTGGGTTAAGAACACAGCTTTCACTTAGATAATGGCTCTTCTTTTTCCAGAACAACTGTTTTTTGTACCTCCATATGTAGAAAACCTATTACCAGGAACAAAGTGATATCTGCAGCCTATGACAACAATTTATTCATAGTTTCACTTAAAAATGTGAACTAAAAATGTGTCAATTTAATATGAAAAGATTGTTTGCTTCAAAAGTTGTTATCTTCATAAATGTTAAAGCCTGCCTAAAAATCTCGGATCACATCTTTGTTACATTGATTATAAGGACCACTGTACACTGAATTCCATCAGAGAGAGAAGGAGTGTTTTGAAGAAAATGCAAAGTGTTTTCATCTTCCAGTAAAGCCAGTAGGTCACTGTATTGTTGGAGACATTGAACACTTTGCAGAACCAGACTATACCACGGCTATCTGTCCTAGTTCAGACAAAACTCACACTGAAATTAAAGCAAGTAAAGAAACCAAGGGATTTGACCCTGCATGTGTAGGTCCAAAAGTACATTTTTAGATACAAATTTTATTAAAAAAAAATCAATTTAGCTATATACTGTATTTCAGGACACGATGCTAAAAAGTAAAAAAGGGTCTGTTTAAACTAATTGTTTTAGCTTCCAAGATCTGGGTGTAGATTTTTATGCTTATTCCACCACAGCTGACGTAATAAGTAACAAAATATGGCAGTTATTACTATTGTAATAATTTAGTATTTAATGGTATTTTCCCCACATAAATTAGATATTAATTTATTTGCTTTCCAGTACAAGATGCAACAGCTAGGCAACTATTTTTGGTGAATGGAATGAGAGAAAAATGTGGTATTTTGAGACTTCCTAATCATTAAAGTGCTCTTTAAAAATATGCTTATTTAAGCAAGCATATCAAATCTTACCAGGAATAATTATTTTATCATAGTGAGGCATTTTGCCTTTGGTCTCTTCCTCTTCATCCTCATCTTCAACTAAAATAAAAGTAAAACACAATTAACATTGCCATCTCAAGTTGCTACTTAATACAGTGAGAAAAAGACTTAGTAACAATGTCAGTCCTTTATATAATACCAATACTTTATAAATCCAAGTCATAACCGCAAACTTTTAAGTTTGGCAGGTGTGTAATTCAGTAAACATTTAGATACTTTTAAATAAAAGTGGAAATGTTGGCAAAGTTCCATACTTCAGAAGTGTTAAAAGTTTTAGTCTTCAAAATGAGCCTGGTACATCCTCTACCTACATAGACTTTTATATTGTACATAATTATCTGAAGATCTGCTGACATAGATCCTGTCAGCTACCCCAGAATCTGTCAATGTAAAGAATTAGTTGGCATTTAATTCAACGTGCTGACAGACACACTCATACTAACTCTCTTCCGAGGGTATGGCTACATCTCTTAGACTGCCTATACACGTGCCTGTTGGCATTCTAATTAGAACAAAACCACATTGGAGCAGACTCAAATAATCAAGTCTGCTCCATGTTCTAATTAGAACACTGCAGCATCACATGTATTAAGCCCCTGCATGTTTTAAAATGGTCGCAGGGTACTTTAACTAGACTTCATTGAATGAGGTTTAGGTAAAGCATCCCATGGCCATTTTTAAATGTGCGCAGGCTTAATACATGTGGCAGTGAGGTGTTTTAATTAGACAGTCAGCTCAGGAACTGCTCTAATTAAAACACCCTCCTAAACCCCTGCCACCTCCAAGCATATGTATAGGCAGCCCTAACGTTTACAGATTTAGGAACTTGAGAGCAGATCCCTAACAACAACAACAATAATACCAAGTATAGCAGAACTTACGATTAAAGAGATCTTTTGCCTGGTCATAGGTCTTTGGGAAGCCATCCAAAACATATCCCTGATTCTTACAAGGCATAGACTTTAGCTTTTCTTTCATGAATTTAATCACATGATGATCATCTAAACGACCTAAAAATTCAAAAGATAACTTAACATATACATTCAAATACAGTCAACTTGTATCTGCTTTATAGAGAGGATGAATATCTGAATTATTTTACTAATACGTTCACAGAAATATCCTAAAGTCTTTGAGTTAATAGCTGAGAAAGCCTAACTGTCTGTATTACTCACTATTTGGTAACTACAAACCTGCAATGGTAACATGAACTCATAGGTCGTGTTCAGGCAAGCGTGGCCTTGAGATATGTGGTGCTGCAGACACGTCTGTGGTGCCACATACAGCACATTTAGCTGTTCTGTGTGCTGCAAGGGAGCAACGCAGGATTGGGGGTTTTTGACCCCTGGATATTCAGGGGTCAAAAAACCCATGCGAAAAAAAAAGCAGAGCGGCTCATGCAGGGCAGCCCATGCCGCTCAAAACCAGAGTCTGGCTGGCCAGAGCCACACTCCAGCTGCTGACCAGACTCCGAGTGGCAGGATCGCCACTGCTGCAGCCTTAAGAGGCTCCCAGATAAGGCTGCTGGGGCCAACCCAGTGCTGGTCCCAGACTCCCCTACCCCACCTGGGGTAGCCTACTATGTGCCAGAGGGCACATGGCACAGGTGTTCCCCAGGGACAACTAGCAGCTATACAAGCTGCTGGTTGTCCCTAGGGAACCAAACGTCCACACTCATGTGGATGTGGCCATGGGGTGTGCCTAGAAAAGCACACGTGCATTTCCTGGGAGACAAGCAGCAGTGGCACATAGCTGTGCTGCAGCAACTCGTCCTCAGGGAACACCCGTGCACACGTGCTCTGGTGTGCAGCAAGTTGCCCAGGTGGGGTAGGGTACAGCACCTGGGGTGGCCCCAGCAGCCTTACCTGGGGGTCTCCCGGGACTCCAGCAGTGTCGATTAAGGCATGAGGAGCCTGGCTGGGAGCTGGAGTGTGGCTCTGGCCGCCCAGGTTCTGGTTTTGGGCAGTGCGTGTACCACTCCGCTTTTTTCTGCCACAGGTTTGTTTTGACACTAGAATCTCCCAGTGTCAAAAAAACCCCTGCCACACTGCAAATTAACAGTGTGGCAAATGCTTTAAGAACTCCATATAGTACAAATTATTAGGTATATAATGAAGGACTTTTTTGTATTTTCATTTATATTTGTAAGAATGTTTATATTATCAAGGAATCAATAGAGCCAAAAAATAAAGGAGGACTGTTAGGACAATACATTGGTAAGGGCATGGTGACATCATATCACTTAAAACACTTAGAATTTTTCTCTGACTTTACCTGAAAGGGCAAAGAAACCTTTATAGAAAGAAAAATAGCAGAAATGTTGAGTCTGAAAAATGGTTACATTCATGTTTTTCACTGTCATTTAACATTGCTATTTTGTCACCTGTTTGAGAGCCTTAGTCTTACTTGTAGATGGGTAAACTGAGATGGTATTTGATTTAGTGCCTTCAACAAGGTCATTGAACAAACATATAGCAATGAAACTAAGTGTCCTGGAAATAAAATCAAATGTCCTGCTTCTTATTCCTCCCATAATAACTGACTTCAACTCCTTCCTCTCTTTTTATGCAGCTTTTACATGGCTTAGTTAAATATTTATAAGCCATTGTAGTAAAAATATTTTGAATATAAAAGTTTTCATTATTTTAAACAATGAAGCAAAGTCCATGAGTCATTCCCTTTTATAGATATCTATCTATCTATCTATCTATCTATCTATATATATGCAGTAAAAACTGCATTATCCGGCACCGTACAAACCAGCATGCTCTATTAATTGGCATGCTGGCTTGTAAGGTAAAAGTGAAACCGGAAGCGCCCACTGTGGCACTTCTGGTTTCGCCGACCCTCCATGGCCCGGGGCGTAGCAGCCTGTGTGGGGCCCCCCTCCCTGTCCCCCAGCACACTGATGAAGTGAAAGGAGTGGCGATGCAGCGGGAGAGATGGCAGCGCACCAGATGCGACGGGAGAGGCGGCAGCCCAAACAGGCAAAGATGCTTGTTTGGGCCTCTCAGGTAACCGGCATATTTAGTAATCTGGCACTCCACACTCCCCATGGGTGCCAGATAACAAAGCTTTTGCTGTATATATATATCTGTATATATATCTATCTATATCGATATAGATGTAGATATCTATAAGGAAAAAAGATGGCTCATGCACCAGTATTTTATGTGCACCCGCCAGATAACAAAGCTTTTGCTGTATATATATATCTGTATATATATCTATCTATATCGATATAGATGTAGATATCTATAAGGAAAAAAGATGGCTCATGCACCAGTATTTTATGTGCACCCCAGTTTTCATAGATTTCATAGATATTAGGGCTGGAAGGGACCTCATGAGATCATCAAGTCCACCCCCCCTGCCACAGGCAGGAAGTCTGCAGGGATCAGATGATCCCAGCAAGATAAATCCAAATGCCTTTTGAATGAGTCCAGAGTAGGTGCTTGCACGACCTCTGGGGGGAGTCTGTTTCAGACCTTGAAGAGAGAGCCTGTAAAGGAGTTATTCCTTATATTGAGTCTGAATTGGCCTTCTAGAAGTTTGTGGCCGTTGGGCCTAGTTATCCCTTGGGGAGCCCTGGTGAACAACTGTTCTCCCAGGTCCTGATGCATCCCCTCCCCTTTATATACTTATAGGCAGTCACCAAGTCCCCTCAGAACCTTCTCTTCTCCAGGCTGAAGAGTCCCAAGTCCCTCAGCCTCTCCTCGTAAGGCTTGCTCTCTTGGCCTTTGATCATACAGGTGGCTCTCCTCTGGACTCTCTCGAGCTTATCCACATCCCTCCTGAAGTGGGAGACTCAAAACTGGACACAGTACTCCCCCTGTGGCCTCACTAAGGCCGAGTAAAGTAGGAGGATGACGTCCTTGGTTTTGCTTGAGATGCATCAGTAGATGCATGCCAGAGTTTGGTTTGCTCTGACAGCCATGGCATCACATTGGGGGCTCATGTTCATTTTGTGGTCAATCAAGATCCGCAAGTCCATTTTGGTTGCGTTGCTAATGAGCGTAGCACCTCTGAGCCTATAAGTACGATGCTGTTTTTTTCTCCCAAGGTGGAATACCCTGCATTTCTCTACGTTGAATGCCATCAGATTTTGGTCTGCCCACCTTGCGTGTCCGGGTCAGCCTGTATCCCCAGCCTGTCCTCCAGTGTGACCACCTTCCCCCACAGTTTAGTGTCGTCCGTGAACTTTGCCAGTCCATATCTGACACCCAAATCCAGATCATTTATCAAGATATTGAAGAGTATCAGCCCAAGCACTGTGCCCTGGGGGACTCTACTTGTAACCTTGTTGATTTGTTCCCATCAGCTACTACCCTTTGGGTCCAACCCTGGAGCCAGTTCCCCAGTGTGGCAGGGCCCTGTGTGTGGCTGGCCATTTAAGGGCCTGCGCCAGGTGCCTGATGAGGGCAGCTATTTTGGAACTGGGGCTACCCATATAAACATGGCAGTTCTGCTATGAGAGGCCAGGCAACAACATTGCCTGGCTGGAGGGCTGTAGATCTACATCTGGAGGTAAGGGAGGAGCTGTAGGGGAAGGATAGGAGGCTCCTGGTCCTGGGCATGACCTAAAACTGCACCCTGCCAGGAGTGAGTGGCCTGGTGGGGCTCCCAGCGGCGTGGGAGCCCCCAGGAAAATGCCAGGCCAGTGATCACCCCGATGAAAGGCAGGTTGGGGCGCCATAACCCTTAGCCCCCATCACTGGGTAGGTAACCCTCTTTGTTTGGAGGGCCCAGAGGGTGGATCCTAAGAGAGAGGAAAGGGCTATAGATTCAGGCCTGTCTGAACTTCCCCTGACTGCCCATGCTGGGGCCAGGACTGGAATGGTTAAAGGGCCAGGGGCCCACCGCGAGGGACTCCTAAGAGCTGTGCGCCTGGGGTCCCGACTGGCCTGGAGGTGGGCCAGGGCTAGAGGAGCCAATGGTCCCGGTGGGGGGACCACACCCGGAAGGGGAAGCGATACAGGGAACTATGTTGCCTAGCATGAAGGCAGAGGATACCACTTGATAGGAGGCATTCAGGTGGGGTTCGACTAAGAGGACTTTGGGGCCCAGCGTGGGGGCCAGTGATTGTTATGACACCTAGATGCCATCTGCAAGGCTTGGGCTGAGGTGTAGGGGAGGAAAGGATCTGCAGATAGCGCTCCCTGGCATTGGGGCAGTAAATGGGCAGCCTCCGGCTTACTTAACATCTTCAAATTAATCAATTAACATCACGGCGTGGCGGGAAAGAATGCAGGTGGTTAGCCCAGGAACAGGTGGGTGGGCCATGGCAAGAGCAGCCTTGAGCTGGCCCCATTACACCCAGCCATCAGACTGTTAGATGGTCAAGGCCACAGTTCCCCAGTTTGGTCATGAGGACATCATGGGAGAGCAAGTCAAAGGCCTTCTTGAAGTCCAAATAAATGACATCAACCTAGCCTCCCTTGTCCAGGCAATGTGTTACCTGGTCATAGAAGGAGATGAGGTTGGTCAGGCAAGACCTTCCAGTAATAAAACGATGTTGTCTGGCATTTGGTAGGTTGCCTTCCATTAGCCTGTTGCAGATGGATCCCTTGATAATTTTCTCCAAGATCTTTCCAGGGATGGATGTTAGACTGATAGGTCTGTAATTCCCTGGATCTTCTTTCTTCCCTTTCTTGAAGACTGAAACCACAGTGGGTCTTTTCCAGTCTTCTGGGACATCATCCAAGCACCATGAGCTTTCAAATATCTTGGCCATAGGGCATGCTGTGATGTCCGCCAGCTCTTTTAAAACTCTCGCGCGTAATCCATCTGGGCCTGCAGATTTGTGGATGTCAAGCCTCTTGAGGTGTTTTCTCACTTGATATACATCAATTGTGGGCCCATCTCTTGAGCCCTGGTTGCTTTGCGTCCTGTCTGACAGCATGACCCTCTTGGTCGGGTGGAAAACTGATGCAACGTAATCGTTTAGGAGATTAGCCTTTTCTTGGGTGTCAGACATCAGCTGCCCCATTTGATCTCACAGGGGGCCAAT